ATCTTCATAATATACACATAAGGTTATTCAATGTTTAGTGTACTTAGTCCCACCAGAAGTAAGGTTGAAAGATGAATGAGGTAATGTATGGTAATAGACCAGACCCTTGCTTTGTAGAGGGAGGGACTGGCTATGTGAGACTAATAAGGAATGAATCTAACAAGTGGAAATTTGTACTCATTACAAGTCCTTTTATGTAAAGATATTTACTCATTGATATTGTTCTATTAGTATACTCCCACTACTGACTATACATACTGTCAATGAATCAATTACTAACAATTCCCTTGTTGAGTTGAGGATAGATATATCACATGCACAATACAACTGTACATCATATAATGATTATGTATCTGTACATACAATAAATGAGATACATTATTCATTGACTAATACTCAGGACTATAACAATCAATCAATATCACCTACTGATATTAGTAATAATGATATATAAATACACTGTACACTATACAATCAGTATATAAAGTACTAACAGCAACATATTATTATACAAAAACAAAACAACAGGAATGTAAACAATGAAATCACAACAGAACAGAAGATATAACAATATGTACATGTATATGATAACATAGAGACAGTAATAATAACAATAACAATATGTGACCATAATTGACAAAAGGTACCTTATGGCAGATTTTAAAATTCATCATTTTAATAAAAAATATCAACCTGTGAGTGCTCTGTAGGACAACAATTGTTTCTAAAATTTACATAGTAACTTTTTGCATCCTGTGGAGTAATTTTATGATAAATGGAGCTCAGCAACTTGGATTTTCTTGGCTATAAAAACAAATTTGACTAACCGCCATTAGGTACCTTTTGTCAATTATGGTCACATATACTAACAACCAAACACACACACACACACTTATAGGATAATTAGCTAGTAAGATGATCAAAATGACTAGAAAATAATTCTATATGCATGTAAGCTAGCTCCATCAATACTTCTTTAAAAATTAGTGAATCAGTACAATACCAGTTAATTTCTTTGCAGGAAACAATATTTTGCAAATCATGCATTTTTAGCCAGCCCCTTGCAAATGTCACAACAAAATTGTGCATATCCATCGCTACATGGTGCAGTCTGCAAAAATAAATAGCACAAAAATCTTACAAAAACAAATTTTTTACTGCAAAAAGACTTATATGGTACTCTATACTAGTTCAACTGGTTGCACTCAAAAGTTGCAGAAAGGGCAAATGTTGATAGTTATAGAGGATGGTCCTGTATATAGTATATTAATATTAGTGGAGTGAGAGTGGGCTCCTTTCACTGTCCCTCTCTCACAGGCACTTCTCCTCTCATTCACAGCCCACACTAACACACACTATCACTATACAGTCTATTCATTGATAACTGATACCAAACATATCAATACTCCCTCAAATAGGACCCATAGCTCATAGTACCCACTGGACCACTGAGTACTGGACCAACTGATCAACCAGACCCAGGGGAAATTAACAGGAACCAACAATATCAGGCCCAGCCACAAAAAGGAGAAGTAGGATCCACAAGTTTCAATTGATCTCAGAGCTTTTCTGAGCTTTTTCATTTTTGACTATAGCCATGCATGTGCATTCAAAATTATCAGTTATAATGTGCAATAATAATGGAGTTCTATTGTCACATTTCACACTCTTTCCTCCTTCCACAGCTACTCTCACAGTGGATCAATTCTCAACCAAAGGATCTAACTCTATAACTTCATTGGCATTTTAACTTACATAAACATTAGACATTCTTTGAGTTAAATTTGTGAAGATACTTTAAAGAAAGCTTTCCAAAAGACTCTTCTGGGTGACTAAAAGTAGTGACTAGCTGTTTCTTCTTGTCCTCTCAACCTGCTGCTCACTTACTGGCTAAGTGGCTATATATTGAGAATATAAATTGTTGGGTGTGGTTTTAGTCAAATTGATGAATTATCATAGATAATTGTCACAGGAATGATATTGCTACAAATAAAATGCTGATGCATACTGTACATGTATTATAGTGCTAATGTGTTAATATCAGGATATGCTTATACTGATATACATGATATGGTCCTTTAATCTTTATGTAATGTAGACTGGTTGGGTTTAAAAATATGACCAGAGACCATGGACCAGTAGAATGTTAGGAATGATCATGGACCATGCATGGTTTACTGTTAAGAATGTTAGTAATAATTAAGTTATGGACACA